AAATTTAATTGCTCGGTATTATAATTTTGGGTCTTTTGGTGTTGTGTAATTTGGTTAAATTTTATAATTTATCGTGAATGCAACAAAACAAGAAAATAAACGTATCGAAAATTACAAAAATCCTACTAAATCAATTAAAACATTTACACACAGACAAACCAAAGTTTAATCGGAACGTTATACATGACTTAAAAGAAGCAAGAAAACATGATGACAATAGTTCTACAATTGATTCATCTACACGGTTTTCCCATTTTTCAAAACCAAGATAATTTAAAAGACAAATTCAAGGCAGGCTTGGAAGAATTACAGAAGCAGCTAGATAAATTAGAGGAACATTTTTTATAACAGATACTAGAACATCAAAAGCTTAAACAACACTACAGCTCAACAAAAGCACTGCGTTGTTTAACATGTCATATACTTTGTTAAAACATGGGCAATCAATTTTAGAACTCATTCTTCATTTTAACACATATCTATCCTCTGGTTTTTTTCACGTAAGTCATGGAGTGATTGTATTGTCTCAATAATGTACAAATGCAGTCATATCACAAATTCTAACAAATAGAAAGGAATCACAGAGACCAGTGTGTTTAATTGTGTACTAAACAATAGGTTTGATAATTTTCATGAATTACAATCATGTTTTACAAACCAGCTAGGACTTCAGATACTATGTGTATCATTAAATGTATTTTTGAAAAACAATATTGTAATTCAGAGAATTGAATGGTTTACGCTTGCTTTATGAGTGTTAAATAAATTTGTCGTTATCTTCTACGTTTGCCAAGGAGAAGTACGCAAAAGGGAGACAATGTTTGAAGAGCTAACTCTTACTAAGTAAAGTTTTCTGTTAAGCCGTGTCAGTTTCAATATCTTGCGAAACAATCAAACAGCGCAAGAACACATGTTGGCGAAAGAAAAAAAAAACACCAATATCCGAACAAAGCAAAAGGTCTTTCTTCCAAAAGGTAGAAAGACACAATAATCAGAACAAAATCTAAACGTTTTTCCACGGGAAAGTAAAAAGACATAACAATAAACTGAGACAATGAACCGTTATATTATCAAACGTGATACACAGTTATTACAATTTTTTTTAAAATGCTAGAATTGTATTCGGTAAATACGAAGTAGTTATTTTACTCTATCTAATGGCTTATATTATTCAATTCTTCTCGGAAACACTTGTTAAATTCGGCGCTTTATTAAATGCGTATAGTTTTTGAAAAGTTTGTGACGTTCAAGTTCAAACTACAATTTACTATCTATAAATAAGCAGATTGATATCACTTTGGGTTTTTTTTTTGCGTCTATGTCTCTATCATCAAAATTTAAAAACCAATATTAACAGATAATACAGTTTTGTATTAAATGCATAAATTGCCTAACATGAAGTACCACATAAGCCCTATGGGTATATTTAAACAAACCTCGATGTGAATATGAATTTTCAACCAAAATTCGTTTATGGAGGCGTACAATTTTTACAACTGCCAATGTATGTCCTATTTCTGCAAATACTTCATTACTGATACCTTAACTTTGGGGCAAAGTTATACTTAACGTATGTCTATTATGTTAGCGTTCGAATTATGTGCATTAAAAAAGGTGAAAGTGCAATGAGCTTTCACTTTTTGTAAAGTTCAAGAAGGCAAAACAAATTAGAAACACAACTGAATATCTATAGTTTCACAGTTCAAATGTAAAAGGCGAACCAGGGGAACGAACATCTAAGGTCGTACATTTTCTTCAACGGTTTTACACCAATAAAAGCTGCATTTGTATTCGCGTTAATTTATTTTTGCGAACAATATTCCTACAGCGAAATTGAACAACTAAAAAAAAGTACACACACAGAATATCTAGCTCTAAATCGTCTTAGTCCACATTGTGAATACTTTTAACAGGACAAATTACAGATTTGATAAATCAACATCAATGGTAAGAATCGCGCGTATAAATTGGCATACTGGTTTTGAAATAATGGACACATGTTACTTTAATTCCATAACAAAGGAATGTTCTAATGTGTGTGTAAAGAAGAAACGTTTACATGAAACACTTGTTTATGAACTGGTCTAAATTGGGATGTTTAACTTCATGTAACGTATAAGACAGTGCATGGAAATCAATTACTAGTACTCATAATACTTGTTATTTTAAAATATTCGCTCTTCATCTCGATCGCTTACTTTGCAGAAACGGGTTATCTTATGTGTTTCTATCCACGGAAATATTTGTCACTGGAAATTCAATAAAACACAATTATTAATGCACTGGTCGACTTAAAATCTTTCGTGAATACATGAAACTTAACTTCTGGTAAACAGCAATGCATTTCGATTCAAGGAAACAAATACGGGCACAAATTTGTCAATTGAATGAGTGTTAGTGTTTCTATGTGTCAACGTTTCGTGAGCGTAGATAAGTTTTGGTTTACCTGTAGTACGAATGCTGCAAATATTTGAGAAAATTGATTTTGTCGTCAATTTACAGAAAAAAAGATGAACACTTTATGAATCTGAAACCCTTTATATTTTTAATTTGTCGTAAATAAGACCTTAATTCATTGATTGGAAAATCAACAAAATTGTCCATGAATGTCAATTAAGTTGACAATACAAAATCCGATTACCATAGGTTCATGTTTAATAATTTACCAAAAAAACCAGTAATGTGTTAATGCTGTAACAACACTTTATCGGCTCCGGCCAGAGACACATACCAGAAAGAAGTACTAGTACATATTTAAGACAAAATAGTTCCTTAACAGGACTGTAACTACAAAACTATTAAGATGGTATCAAATGAAAGCTGAATGACTTGTGATCGTTGAAAAACACTTTTTGATAAATGATTTTAAAAAATTTTAAAAAATAGAACAATTAAAAAAAAAAGAAAAAAAAAAGGTACATTTTGTCGTCTGTTCGATTTCAAGTACCTTTGTTTGAACTTCCTAAGTGTCGGGAACCAGTACGCTCTTATATGCAATCAAATGTATGTTGATTTGTTTTTTCAGTGAAATACAAGCTATTGTAATGCTTTGGTATGAAATCACTTTCACTTAATTTTAACTTAAGACAAATGAGCTATGAATATATGAAATTGAAGAATTAAGCATTGAAGGCAATAGGGTCAAGCATTGGTGGTGTTCCTCCTCATGCGTGTTCGTATTAGTATAATGATTATAATGATTATTGTTTGATTCATTTTCTCCATCAAAGTAAACAAACATTTTACTTTTTCTCTTATTACAATGTATCAAAAATGATTAATAGCTTTTGAAACAAAAGTTAGATACTTGTTTGATAAACAAATCGGTTAAAATATATATGCACCACTTATTGCGGACCTGTTTTTGTATGAGTTACAATCTATGACTAAAATCAGCAAAGGCCCATCGAAAAACATCTGATACAAAAATTTAACAATACTTTTAGATATTTGGATGATATATTTGGCTCTCAATAATGACGACTTCAGTATGTATACTAAAGAAATTTATCCTGTTGAACTTACTTTAAATAAAGTTAATACTAACAATGACCACTGTCCTTTCCTCGATCTTGATATCTATATCATTAACGGGAAGCTTAATACAAAAATTTATGATAAAAGAGATGATTTTTCATTTCCTATCGTTAATTATCCATTTTTAGATGGTGACGTTCCCTTGTCACCATCTTATGGTGTTTATATATCTCAACTTGTTCAATTCGCTGGTGTATGTAACAACGTATTAGATTTTAGCGAGATAAATTTAAGTATTACTGAAAAGTTATTACACCAGGGTTTTCGATATCATAAACTAGTCAAAACATTTACGAAATTTTATCATCGGTATAAGGACATCATTCGTATATAACTCAACATGCAAACATCTTATACGTTCGAGTATTTCACATCCAATCTTTTATGGTAATATTCTTTACAAAGCACAAAAATGTCAGTGTTCACCTCAAAAGCTAACAAAACCTTTAAACAGACTTATTAAGAAGGGATATAATTACGATACTGTTGTCAGGTCATTAAAGATTGCATATTTTGGCTTTAATATTGATTCACTTATACGGTCTTTGCATCGGAATTAAACATATTTATTCTAAAACCAGTTGTTGGCATGACACGAGTTATGTTCTTCTCATATTTTTTATGATGGTATAATACTAAACCCCTAACAGGAGGGATTGTGCCTGATAATCATATGATGAAGACATAATCTTTCAATCAGTTTAATTGAGGTCTGGAGCTGGCATGCCAGTAACTGCTAGTAGTCTGTTGTTATTTGTGTATTATTGTCATTTTGTTTATTTTCGTTTGTTTCCTATTCTGACATCGGACTAGGACTTTGTACGTTTGTTTTTTACATTGGCTAGAGGTATAGGGGGAGAGTTGAGATCTCAAAAAAACATGTTTAACCCCGCCGCATTTTTGCGCCTGTCCCAAGTCAGGAGCCTCTGGTCTTTGTTAGTCTTGTATCATTTTTATTTTTACTTTCTTGTGTATAATTTGGAGTTTAGTATGACGTCCATTATCACTGAACTAGTATACATATTTGTTTAGGGGCCAGCTGAAGGACGCGTCCGGGTGCGGGAGTTTCTCGCTGCATTGAAGACCCATTGGTGGCCTTCGGCTGTTGTCTGCTTTATGGTCGGGTTGTTGTCTCTTTGACACATTCCCCATTTCCATTCTAAATTTTATGGTTGTAACAGTTGTTGTAAACGTTATTCAGTTTATTAAGGACTGATTCAAACATTTTTCGAAATGTAACTGTAACAAAGAAATTTAGAAACTAGTACAACTCATACAACTACAATTTATAAAATGACTTACTCTGGTATAGACAATTTTTTGGTAAAGTTGTGTATCATGCATCATTTCAGAATATGAATGTTCATGGGGAAAACACATATTGTATGTTCCTTACAAGCAACTTTCGTTTTTAAGACGTTTGTTAATACATTGTAAGTTAGAATAAAAGAATACGTCAAACAAACAATTGAAAGAAATAGTTTATTCTGTATAAATACTATACAGTTATACAAAACGACAATTGACAAATTAGAAATCACAATTAAAAAAATGAACTCTCATTTATGAAATTGATTTAAAATCAACGCAGTTTGAATAAAAACCCAACAATAATACAGTTCTGTTGATATATAACTTCACCAAGTACGGGGATATCTTGAAAATCGAAGGAAAGTATGTCGATTCACACTTTTTGAAGGAAAATCATAATGTATAACATCTCAAAATTCCACCTTTTCAGCTCCTTAAAGGAGATTGTTTCGCATAACATAATTGTAATAACTGTGGATCGATAATTCTTGCAATTTGTTCAGAAGTTTTTTTACCTGTTACACAAAAACTAGCAAAATGTTCGCAATTATTGTTTAGTATGTGATACTTTCCCCATTCGTCGGGGTTATTTCCAGCAATACGCAAAGCATCTTCAGCTGTTTTTTTACCAGAATGGCGCGTTGTATGATTTACTCTATATAAATTTCGTTTGTCCCTGAAAATGTTCAGATCTACAGCTCTGATTTTTGATTTTGATTTTCCATCTCCATTGAATTCAACAACCGTAGGTGGGTCTGTTTTCACATAAACGCCGTGATGGAAGTATTTAAGTCGATGAAAATGGCCATATATGGCCAAATGGTCTCCAACAGCCAACTCCCTGTAAGACAAAAGACTTTATTTTGAACCTAAGGTAGATAGGAGAGGGTATCTTCATTATATATCCATAAATATTTTTAGTAATTTGTGAAAATGTAGTTTATATTATGCTTTTTTTTCAAAAAATATATTAAACAGTATTGGTCACCGGATTTTTTTACACACTACAGGTTGTGCAAAACTGTCAGATTTTTACTAGATAATGCATAGAAAACACAATTTTGTATGACAAAAAAGAAAATTACACCATAGAATTGTATGATAAAATATGAGAATATAGCTCTAATAATATGCTTTCAGATAAGAAATAGAAAAAAATGGGTTCACTGGTTTGGTTTTCTTGCATCACTATAAATGGAAAACACAACACACTTTATTATAAAAGTTACTTTATATGAGTTATCTCTCCTTTAATCAGGTCTATATGAGTTATCTCCCTTTATGTGGCAAAGTTGAAACAAAAAAATCTAACAAAAATATTCTGTTTGTTTTGGTAAATACAGCCGTTAATATGATATACCATATAATATTCTATAGTTACACTGAAAGTCTTTCACATGAATCAAATACTACTCTCATAATTTGCACATTTTAATCAAGATATAGACCGATTGTTTTCTGCTATTTCAAAATCGAAAATAGACGAAGACTAACCAGCATCCTTAAATGTAACATAAACACAATGTAAATCGTCACCCTTTCATTAAAAATGTATTTCAAAACAATTGTAAAATTGAACACACCATTAATTATTGAAGAATAGCTATACATAAATTGTATGCACACCAGGCATGGAAACATGCACATTTGTAATTGAAATGCATGGTAATGCATTACATTTTTCCAAGTAATTGCATGTAATGTGTAATGCAGCAATTTTTGCATTACATGTAATTGTAATTTAATGCATTACTTTAGCAAATAGTTGTGTAATTTCATGCATTACATTGCATTACATATCATTACTTTTTTCACATATTATATATCTTTAACAGATTGTTGGATATTTAACTATTATAAAAGAAGAATTGAAGATTTCTTGATTAATTAGAACATAATCATTTAAATATAGATTTTTTTTTAATATTTCTTTTTCACCCTTTACATAGATCACTAGAAGGAATTTGGATATTAAGCCTTGCCCCAGGTAATACTTGAAAAAAAATTGTATAAATACTAGAATGACCAAATAAAAATTATAAATGAATAACACAACACTGTATATCAGATCGATTTCTTATTTTATTGCATACATTTTCCTGCATAAAAAGATTGATATTTGAAAAGCATTACTGTATTCCATTGTTGTCAAAAGATCGATGTATACCTTGTCATGATTAAATAACAGATAATTGAACATTGTCATAAAACACTAATGAGTTTGTTTTACAATCAATATTTTCACCACTTTGACACTTCGTCATTAATTAAGCTCTGTGGTTATTATATAATTAGGAAAGAAATTCTCAGTAAATATTTTGATTGAAATAAAAAAAAAAAATGTATATGTATGAAAGTAAATTTAACAGTAAGTTAATATAAGTATTAAGCTTCATCTATGTAATTTCTTTTTAGAAAAAAAAAACACAGAGATGTTTATAAGTACCTTGAAACAAAGAATGACAAAGAACGATAAAACCTTTGAAACCCTTATGATGTTAATAATTAGACAAAGACATTTTACATAGACATAAGAAGATGTGGTATGCGTGCCAATGAGATAACTCTCCATCCAAGTCACCATTTGTAAAAGTAAACCATTATAGGTCACAGTACGGCCTTCAGACCTACATGTATACTTAAATTTAATAAATGGAACACTTACTGCATATATATGCTAGAATATTTTGTGACTTCTTGTTGTTATTTAAAATGTTTGATTATAAAATTTACAAATGTAATGTGTAATTCAATGCATTACTTTGCAAAAGTAATTGTAATATAGTGCATTACATTGCAATGTAATTCGTCCCAAGCCTGATGCAGACCAATAACATGATTGTTAATCAAAAAGCAATTCGTACAAATCTTCAATAACTTACGTTATTTTATCTATCTTTTCCGAAGTAATGCCTGTATCCCTGTATGGTGGACCAGGACACATCTTGTAAATTAAATGGTAAACTAAATTGTGATACTTTGAGAAGCAATATATACTCAGTCCTGAGTACTCATATGTGTCTACGTCGCTCTGTTGAACACCAATCGTATAGTGATACACATTGGTGTGCATTATTATGTTATTTAAATAGAACATTTTGTTCTACGGATTATCGTATATAGGATTTACCACATATAGTTATCATGCGGATTCATTGAAAAAATGATATGCATAAGGCATGCTCTTTAAATAAGATTGAAAGTACAAATGAGTTTAGGTAAGTGTATTTCTCACAAAACAACTGGTTTTGTTTAATATCAATGAATATGGTCTAAATTTGTACAACTGTATTGAAAAATTTATACCCTGACCTGAACAAAAAATTGTGTTATTTATATCTATTTATTTGTATTACAAAAAACTATATAATTATATTGAAACAAAGATTGACACTAAAGGCGGAAAATTGATGTGCCGCAATATTTTTAATACGATTGTAATTCATCTTTTGTCATTATCTTCACACACAACTGTTTTTTTAAATATACCCCCAAAATAAAAAGAAACTTACATGTATCTTATGTTTGATTATAATATATATATAATGACTGAAATTTAGCCAAGGAATGTCGGCCGAAGTAAAGACATTGTAAATGCGTTCGAAAATTATATTCTTCTTTCAGCAGGATTGTATTTCGTGAAAGATTATGTTTTTACGTTATTCAAAATAAAAGCTTATTCATATAAAACAATCGTTTTCATCGTAATTAAATAAAAATAACATTATAAAACTATAATATAATTATAGCAGTTATTAATCAAAAGTGAATTTAAATGCATCATATTTTTTTAATTGAACCAGAAATATAGTGCAAAAGAGGGGCGATAGATACCAGAGGAACAGTCGAACTCATACATTGTCATAGATCGAAAATAATCTGACAACGCCATGGCTAAAAAAGAAAAAAAGACAAACAGATAAATGATAGTACATAAGCCACAACATAGAAAACTAAAGACTAAACAACACAAACCCCACCATAAACTTGGGGTGATCTCAGGTGCTTCGGAAGGGTAAGCAGAGGTAAGAATAATTTTCATAGTTCCAGGAATGATTCGATTCTAAAGTTGAATAAATGGTATTATCTACAGTTTCGTAGACACTAATATGACCGTTAAAACAAATGTGTCGCCAAGACACTTTTCAAGTAGGGTTATATATATTTAATTAGGTCGCCAATGTTTCTTCAAAGCGCGTGAACTACAATTGGGTGCAGGCCAAGCATTATCTGAAGACTCGTTTGCGTAAACGCCGCGTTAAGTCTGCGTTTTTGTTTTTGTTTTGTTAATTGACAGTGCTTCACAATCTTTTGTCCATACAGACTTGACATTTTTTCCTGTGAGCTGAGTCAGCGGTGATGCAATTTTACTAAAATGTAAAACAAAGTGCCTATAATAGTTGCAAAGACCAAGAAATTGTAGAACTTCTTTGTCATTTTCGGGAATCTTCCAACTTGAAATGGATTCTGTAAATTTTGGATTCGGTTTAATTCCATCTTGACCAACAATATGATCTAGATACAGTACTTCTGGTCTCAAAAGGTCACATTTAGAAGGTTTCAATTTCAGTCCAACTTCTCTTAGTGTATTTAAATTTCGTCTAATTGTTTGAAGTGGTCTTTCAAATTAGATCTGAATATAATGATGTCATCTAAATATATTAAAAGTGTTTTCGATTGAAGTCAAGTAATACTAATTCCATGCATCTTTGGAAAGTACTCGGGGCATTACATAAACCAAAAGGCATCTTGGTGTATTCAAACAGCCCATATTTTGTTTTAAATGCTGTTTTCTCACGGTCCTTTTCATTCATCTCTATCTGCAAATATCCACTTTGAAGGTCAAAACAGGAAAATATCTTTGCAGATGACAGACAGTCAAGGCACATATCGATTCTTGGCAATGGATACGCGTCCTTTATGGTCAAATCATTTATTTTCCTATAGTCAACGCCCCATCTTACATAACCATCCTTCTTACGGACTAAAACCACTGGTAATGACCAGGCAGATGAAGATGGTCTAACAACTCCAGTTTCTATTTGGTCTCTTAAATATTTTTCTTCCTCCTTTTCGAAAGCTTGTGGTGTCCTTCGTAGAGGTTGACGGACTGGTGCTGCATGAGCTGTGTCTATTCTGTGTTTAAGCACAGAACAAGATCCAAGTTCTGTTTTCGATTTAGCGAAGGCATCTTTGTGTTTTACGAGAACGGCTGCTAGTATTTTCTTTGCAGTGTTGCTTTTGATGTTTTTTCAACTGTTCTGAAATAATTCTCTTAAATATTCTGGGAGTTCTGAACAAAATGCATCTACTGTATTTTCTCCTGATGATGTAAAAACGTTTTCAGATGTGTCATATATTTTTAACGGATCATGTAATCTACAAACTTTTGATATTTTTCGTCATTTGGACATCTGTAACATCAACAAAGTCTGTCACTTCATCCACAGTTTCCAGAGTCCCTATCAAAGTACCTTCTTTAATTTTCAATGGACTATTTTCCAAATTTATGAATCACACTGGTATAGACGGTATTTGTGTAGAAACCATTCCTTTTCCAGAAAGAATTTTGCGATTGTCGTAAATTACTGGTCCAAATAGGGCACAATTACTGTTAAATATCTCTGTATCTTGTACTGGTATTTGTATAATCATCTCTGATTGAGATTTTATGGAAATGCTCTTATTAAGAACAATTCTTAATACTTTATTTTCTCTTCTCTTTACTTCACATGGATACCAAATGTCCTTTATTTGAAATCCACGTTTTGAATTTACCGTGATGTCCATTTCATCAATAATATCACAACCAAGAAGCAAATCGTCATTTAAGGGAGCTACGTATACTGGCCAAGTAAAACGCAGTGGCCCCACACTTATTTCTATCTCTGTAATACCAGTTGCTGACATCTTTTTCCCCTCTTCAGCTACTAACAATCCACGCGTTGCTGTCTTCAACTCAAGATGATGTTCTTTTGTAAGGTTCCTATAAACCTTTTCACTGAGCAGAGTGACCTCAGCATCTGTGTCAATTACCGCTTTTAACTCATAATCATTTATTTTAACAGACGTTTGAATAACTGCTGATTCAAATCTGTCAATACATACACTATTTCCTCCATCAACACTATCAACAGAAGATTCGTTGTCTTCAAAGTGTTTCTCTGGTGAAATTTCGGAAGTTAAAGCAATAGTTGTCTCATTTATATCATCTCTATACTGATTTGCAGCATCAACCCTGGACAAAACTGGTTTTTCAATATGTTTATTCTTGCTACATTGGTGTGATTTCTTGCTGATAATTTTAAGATCACTGCTTGAAGGGCCTAAACCTTCAGTAGTTTGATGTTTCTCAGAAGAGTTTTTCTCTGAGGTTGCAAATTTTCTTTTTAAACAATTTTCTTCTGAACATTCAATTTCCTTCTTTGAAATAGATTGTTGTCTTTTCTCAATAATTACTTCATTACTGCTAAATCCATTACTGTTTGGGGCTATGGCTTGGCCTACAGGCACAGCCCTTTCTAGTTTAAAGGATCGAAAGGTGTTTTGACTGGTGCATAAACACCTTTTTGTTGGTGGCAGCGGTGGAATATCCAATGGACAGAGTAGCGTTGGATATCATGGGACCATTTCCCAAATCCAAAACTGGCAATAGGTTTATATAAGTGATCGGTAATCACTTTACCAGATGGATGGAAGCCTATCCATTGCCTAACCAATATTCCCATATCGTTGCCGAGAAACTCGTTAATGAGTTCGTTTCTAGATTCGGATTTCCGCTGGAAATCCATACTGATCAAGGGACTAATTTTCAAAGCAATTAATTCCAAGAATTGTGTAGGCTCCTTGATATCCATAAAACGAAATCAACCCCTTTTCATCCATCATCTAATGGCCTAATTGAAAAATTTAACCAAACATTAGGAAAAATGATTAAATCTTATGTAGATGAAAACAAAAGAAAATGGGATTTCTATATTCCAATATTAATGAGTGCATACAGAAGTACTGTTCATCCCTCTACTGGTTTTAGTCCAAATGAATTAATGTTAGGACGAGAAGTGAATCTACCCCATTGGTTACTCTATCCATTACCCCGTCATAATGCTCAGAAACCTGTAAATGAATACGTTGATGATTTGAGAGTTCATATGGACGAAATATACCATGTAGCCCGAGAAAATCTTAAACAGTCAGGGGAAAAGCAAAAGCGAGACCATGATACGAGAATAATTGATAAACCATTTTTAGTTGGATCTCTTGTATTTAAAAAGAAACCATTTTTTAAAAAGCTTGAAAGTCAACGGAGTGGTCCATTTGTAGTGATTAAACAACTTAGTCCTGTCGTTTATCAAATCAGAGATTCCAGAAAAAGTTTTAATATCCATTTTGATAACCTAAGAGCATATGAATCTTCTGTTGTTCCATCCTGGGTTAAAAAAGTAAAGCAACAATTTTTGTTCATTTTTCATAGTAACCTATACTTACCATGTGTTTTGTATTCTATTTATTGCAGATGGAAGATGAAAATGACCAAGCCACCTTTATCTGTAGGAAATGTGGAGATGAGATGAAATTTTTAAAAGAAGCCATGTGGCATGTTCAATTCAATCATACAACATATAATAACTGTCCTTATTTTTGTACCATATGCCATTTCAAATGTAAAAGTTTAAACCGTTTGGAGAACCATGTAAAGAAATATAAACTCCATGCAAAACTAGCAGCTGGCGTTCCAGATAGTAAAGGTAATACATTTCTAAAGAAGAACACTGTACCTTTTAACGTAACATGGGGTAATCTGGGTACAGAAGATCTTGCCATCAACTATCCCGGGATCGTCTTGGATGTACAAGAAGAAGTAGTCGAAATTACAACAGACACAGAAACATCAATCCAAACCAAGGATGCAGATACTCAAACTGATCAAGTAGAAGATTTTGAAAAACAACTGAAGGACCAGAGAAAAGAGGTATTAAAACTAAGAAAGGAAGCAAACTTTTGAAAGTTAAAGGTCCTTGTCATGAGGAGACAGTCAGAAGAGGAAATAACCCAACCATCGCCACAGAAGAAGAGAAAACTGGGAAAAGAAAATAGGTAGATCAAAAGTGTGGTGCTCTTTCCGTATAAGTCACCTATTAATAAACTGTGTTTAAATGAAATTTGACAATGTTTGAACAAAATATATGTATATGTTGGTGATTTAATTGTGTTGATATTGCTATGTTTTATATGTTATTTATATGCATTTAGAGAAGAGGTAATTTTGAAATTTTGAAATTTTACATATTGTGTATTTTTTCTTGTTGTTATTGTTTTTTTTTTTTACTGTAAATAAGGTACATATAGGTAATGTTTTAATTTCGAGGGCGAAACGATTTTTTTAAAGGGGAGGGGGGGAATGTTGTGATAGTACAATTTAAACAACGTTACGTTATATTTATTCTCGTACTTTCACTTGCCCTTTGTGACGTCAACTTCCGCCCAGCAATTGTTTATCGGGTTTTCAAGAGAGAAGTTGTTTTTATGTAGACGTTGAGATTGAAGAAGAAGAAGATTTATTGTTATATCATATTTTACAAAAGGTAAACAGCATTACACACTATTTTACTGATCTCCGCATCAAGTTCCCCTTGTTAAATATAGCGCGATCGGCAATTAAAACACATTCACGTTGATTGTTCATTTGTTATTATTTATTCGCGTATTCCTGTGTGAATAAACTTATAGTATATTTATTGTGTATTGATAATAAAGTATTGTATTTTAACACGTTGTTTGCATAAAACGTAACGTCCGTGTAAAAAGTTGTGGTAATTGTTTATGAGACAAATACTTGTTGTGAACACCCATGTAAGATTTTACCCGCTCGGACCCGTTTGTAAGTTCACAACAGTATGCAAACGCTCAATCAGTCCACATCCAACATCCAATGAATTTAGTGAAAAGACGACATGAACAGTCAGGAAAAAACACAACCTTGTGCAATGTCAAGATACAGGTATCGACAGATTGTAGAGCCATGAATATGCATATGTGTATAACAATGATATTTAATCTGAAATTAATTTTTTCAAATAAAAAAATCAATATTAATACCAACAAACAAATATTCAAAAATCTAATTACAGTTGTTGCATGAGTTTAATTTAAAGAAAGCTCACTTTGTTTTTGGTGAATTCAAGTTTTGCCATTCAAGAATTATTTGAATTTTTTCATAAAAAATTAGACATTGACCCATATGTTGTAGGAGCACTTAATATTGCTTTGATAATTTTTCAAGAAATTGTGTTACAAGGCTAGATTTGATCAAATGAGCTCACTCTTGAATATTTATCATATATCACATACTTAAATAATCGAAAATGCTTAGATACATTTCCTTCATTTTGCCCTGTTGTTGAGAGTGAGTGAAATAATTTTATTTTATTTTCTATGAACTGACACAACTTCGATTAAGTTCGATTCTGGCACTTCTGCTTTAAAAAAATAAACTAGCAGTTAAAATTTATTGATGTCTTAAAATATATTTGTTATGTTTCAAAAATTCGAGTGGATATTTTCGAGAGGTGAATAGCTATCGTGTACTTTAGAAAAAAGGTTAAGGGAGAACCACTACCCCGTAGTGGGGACATCATAGAGCAACATTCAAGGTACTTATTTATATGATATGCACCACGTAACTTTTGCTCTTTTGATTGAATTACTTCCCTTAATTGTAGATTGCAAATATAATATATCAAATTTGCGGATAATCCAATCCTTTTCCATCTTGGATCTGAAAATAAGGTGTCTTTGAAAACTTCCTTTGGTGGATATTAACAAAAAATGTTGTGTAATTCTAAGGAAATATGCTTGAAAATTGACTTTTTATGTAGTGGGAAGGATGAATTCATCATGTTTTTGAATCAAAGAAAGCAGGTCAGATAAAAGTTAGTAAACCTGAAAATTCAACATACAAGGTGTTTCCCCATATGCGGACAAATCTTTAACAATATCTTATTGTATCTTATTTTCTATTTTGAATCGTGCTTTTTACGATTTTTCGTTATTTTATATAGCAATTATATTACGGTTTCACTTCCGATTTACAAAGTGAAAAGGCCGAAAGTTTTCAAAATAGATAATGTTCATTTGTATACAGACAGAAGCCAAAACGCAATTACAATTCATTTGTTCGGACAAGTTGTTGATTCGACATAGGAATTGGCATATTGACACTTATATTTAAAAGGCATGGCTGTCTAATCCTATTGTAATGTCTGTCTGTCGTGATCAGACAGAATGGCCCCTATGCAAATTAGCAAAGTACCCAAAATGTTGCCATATGTACAAAATAAAGATGACCGTTCACCTCCATTTCTTCTCGATATAAGTGCCCTTTTTTCTGAAAGTATAAAAAAAAATCGAGGCGGAGATTTTAGAAACAGCTTATAATTGTAGCAGACCAATAGACGTTATAGAAAAATATACGAAAGTGGGGCCTTCTCCAATTTCGAATAAAATCTATAATTTTACAATTAATTGACACATATTGTTATCTTTACATATCTAAGGAATCACCTTTCTATGACATTTGAATGAATATTTACTTAAAAAAAAACAGAACCTTTTCAAATTCTAAATCTACCGACCATGTAAGGAAAAACCTATTAAACAATTGAGACCCCTACATTTAAATAAAAACACATGTTTGCCCTGTTTTGAACACCCCTGTACTCTCCGAATTTCGATGCAAACAACAATAACGCATGAGTGAAAAAGAGATGCGAAAAATAGTAAAGGGACATTCAAACTAATCAGTCGAAAATAAACTGACAACGCTATGGCTAAAAAATAAAAAAGATCAACAGACAAACAACAGTACACAAAACACAACATACATGTGTAGTTTCATACAAACTTCTTGTTGGAAAATTCGGTTTTCGTATTTCTTCGAAAAATGTAACCAAAATTATTACGTCGACATATTCTGTTGCTCTATGGTGACAACATCGCCTTCCGAGAATATAGATTGATTACGGGAAGGGCATGAAATATTCGGGTTACGAGTAATAGGCGGTGTCCAAGAACGTAAATCACGGTTTATCACAAATTTAAATGATGAGAAAACCGTGGATTTTTTATTGATATAATTACTTCGTGTCAGGAAGACTGAATGATATCCAAAGCGCAAGAATCGTGAAACACATTGGTATGGTGGCATATAAGTGCTATCGACATCTCAACATTGGTACAAAAACATGATTGGAATAAAGAAATGGACACAAACACGATCTTGTGACCGAATAGTAAGTACAAAAAGTCGGCCAACGTACAAATGTATAATAGTAAGTCCTTAGATTTGACCCAAGGCTGTCATTTTTTGTTGAACAACAACAAACACCCTCTGTCAATAGCACCTCAATAGAGTCATTTAACAACATTTTTTCTTTTTGATTAAGTTCATATGTTTTACTTTATTATTATATTTGCACCTTGGATAAGAATCATAAAATCTTCAACCCTAGTATTTTCAATACAGTTTGAGTTTCAAATTTACTCTGTACACAAAATAATTTTGTTGCAACCAATGCATATATGCTTCAACAGATGGTCACTACAAATTATACCTTAGAAAACAAAATAAATTTGATGTTTGTAGTCTAAAAGAGAGCTTTTTTCCACCTTTCTGCAATTTACTGAAAATAGGTTTCTAAAGTGGCAATTATGTGTACAACAGTGGTTGTCAATCAGAATTATTTATTTAAGAACTTGAAAAATTATGTAAAATTCCATATAATTACATGATATAAACGCTTATCATTACCCTTGCATATGAAGAACACATTACAAAATGGTTTTGGAGGAATTGAAAATTTGAAAATAAAATCCTCTCACCCGCCTGAAAATGTCTTACAACATGGTTCATTTCGCTTAATAAGTCATAAGTTCGCAATCTTCCCACGTTAATCTTGGTCCGACACGTAAGTCCAGAATAGATGTTCTGTCCTGGATAAAAATACAAAATTTTACTAAATATTTTACTTTTAATAATGTCGATCAATGATGTAATGTTAACGTACAACCGGTTTTCAAACATATTTCGTAATATACGTGAAGTTAATAAGATGCAGGAGCCAAGTTAATGATTTTTTAAAATGAAAATATGTGTTGACACGTTTTGTTTTTTTTTCCACGCCGGTTTTCAAAACTTTATCGTAAGATCAATTGGAAATAATGTGCATGGTGTAGCATGAAGTTAGGGGCTCTATACGTGTTAAACAACAAAACAAGGGTTTACTTTAAACACATTTTATTTCAAAAATCATTACATGAGATATACATATAAATACAGTAATACATTAGGTATAGAACCACTAATTCAGGCCCGGTCGGAAAGAACATACAAGAAAGTAGTACATATTTTAAACAAAATAGTTCCTACGCATAGCTGTATCTTTGTCAATAGTGGGAATATTTGGGTAGTTTTAGTATCAAATGAAAGCTTGGGGACTTGGGATCACTGTAGAACCCTTGTTGAAAGTTTTATTTGAATAATAAAGAAATGTATGAAATTTTAATAGGAGGGCTCATTTGGCCTGTTGTTCAGATCAGAAGTTCCTGTTTTTGTACTATCAAACTTCCGGGAACCAGTACGCTCTAATATGCAATTAAAGGTATGTTGATTTTTTTCAGCACAAGTCAGCATAAGGTACAGTTTTGACATGAAATAACTGCCACTTTATTTGAACTTCAGACAAAGTAGCCATTTATGCTTGAAATTGCAGAATTTAACATAGAAAGCAATGGGGCTATGAATTAGTGGTTTTATACCTATTACTGACACGCATGTGAAATTCTATTTTTAGAAATCATACCCTTTACAGTGAAAATTGGTCACATTTGTTGTCAGAAATCATGTTACATTATTTTTTTTATGTAACAATTATGTTAGTGTCAAATTACAGCCCTCAAATTGCTACAATAAGGTAGTTTAGCCTTTTTTGGTCATTTAGCATGCACACAGTTAAGATTTTACCTGAAATTTAAATTTTTGGATTATCTAACACTGAAACCAATGAAACTTGTATATTATGACTAGTTTATAGTATAAATATTGTTTTTGGTCAAATTATCTAGTGAGTGTTCAAGTTTTATTGTGTTTCTTGGTGAATTATTTATTTCAAGGAAAATTGGTGTATACTTATATAGGAATTCCAAAATCTCTCTTGAAATGCATTTTATAACCATTTTAGCAAATTGTCTAGCTTGGAGATACATAAATTGCTCTTGTTGACCCATGTTTGTACATAAGAGTATGATTTTTTTACCAAATCACTCTCCTTTTCCAACATGTAGAAAAAAGGGGGGACAAAATTATCAATTATATTTTATGTTTGGACCACTGTATTTATATTCAAGGAAGAATTTCTGATAAAAATAAGACATATAGGTAAGAACACTGTTATTTGAGTAGATATTAACAAATCAGAACTGGTAAAAATTGAAAAAGTGTCATATCTGTCACTATTGGTATCCATATGTAGTTTTCTTTGTTTAATGCATATGTTACTACCAGTCCAATTTGAGCTTGAATTCAGTGATATAGTGTTTTGACAAAAGCTTTATCTGTTTTTCTATGCTAGAAATAGATCATAGAAGGAAATTAAGTCAAGCAGAAGTCAATATAACAAGTTTGGTGCTGTTATAGGTATAGAACCACTAATTCAGGCCCGGTCGGAAAGAACATACAAGAAAGTAGTACATATTTTAAACAAAATAGTTCCTACGCATAGCTGTATCTTTGTCAATAGTGGGAATATTTGGGTAGTTTTAGTATCAAATGAAAGCTTGGGGACTTGGGATCACTGTAGAACCCTTGTTGAAAGTTTTATTTGAATAATAAAGAAATGTATGAAATTTTAATAGGAGGGCTCATTTGGCCTGTTGTTCAGATCAGAAGTTCCTGTGTTTGTACTATCAAACTTCCGGGAACCAGTACGCTCTAATATGCAATTAAAGGTATGTTGATTTTTTTCAGCACAAGTCAGCATAAGGTACAGTTTTGACATGAAATAACTGCCACTTTATTTGAACTTCAGACAAAGTAGCCATTTATGCTTGAAATTGCAGAATTTAACATAGAAAGCAATGGGGCTATGAATTAGTGGTTTTATACCATTAATGCAAAGGGATTCGGAAACATGGTTTCCCTTATATTAATCCGTCTCCCTGTCAAAAAAGAAAAAGGGAAATAACTGCACATGAAAGTTGATTTTTTTTTCGTCAGATCGTTCCTATATAAATGTACCGGCGGCGGTGTGTGTTTCCAGGACTTTGTCCAGACTGGCACCCAAATCGCGATCCCAACCATGAAAGACGCTATATGCCAAATCGCTTAAAATCTACTAAAAATTGTTGAACTTGTTTAAACACGAGTAGATTTTCCTCTTGACTGAGAATATTGCTGCCAAACTGGAATGATTTTATACTGTATTGGAACGGAATTGTTTCTATCGTACGTTTTTGAACAAGAGAGTAATTATTACACTCGAGAAAAAAGTGCTTACTGCTCTCGATTCTACCGCAAGGACAGTTTTTACTTTCAACCAGATTTCTCTTAAATAAATGTTCATTTAGATTACTGCAATCCATCCGAAGTCTAGCATGAAGTATTTGTCCCTTCCTGTCTCCATAAAAAAATAATTTGGTATTTTACTTACGTTTTGATTAAGGTAACGTTTAAGTGTAAACTTAGATGGACTTAATCTGATATCGTCCGGAATAGCATTCTAGGATTGAATAACTGATGGAAGAAAATATTTCTGATAAAATGCTGTTCTACACTTTATATGTTGCGTGTCATTCGTTCGTCTTGTGTCATAGTTATGAGTATTAAACAATTGTTTAGGGATAATACCTTTAGATAATCAGGGGTCTTATTGTGAAACATTTCATGAAATTTTAAAATTTTGTGTTTTTTACGTCTTTCTGATAGTGACTCCCATCCCGTTTCGTCGTATAATTTGTTTATGGATGATCACTTTGTACTACCAGTAACTATCCTAGTCTCTTCAACTTGCATATTTTCTAATTTTTCACTAATATAGTCTGGAATGTTGTCCCAAATAATATCTGTTTATTCAAATAAAGGTCGGATAAAACTTAGATATATAGTTAGTAAATACTTTCTTTTGAATTTGAATTTTAAAGCACGATAAAATTTAATCTGGGTGTTATCTTTTCAATTTTTTTATTGACATGAGAATGCCACGAACCATCCTCATGAAAAATTAAACCAAGGTGTTTATGGCTTTCAACCCCTGAAATTATATTATCATTCATATAAAGAGGGGGATGATGGGGTTTTACTGTTTTCTAGGAAATTGTCATAGCTTCAGTCTTTTTTGCATTAAAGTTTACTAGCCATTGGATTGACCAATTCTTGATAGTCTCTATATCAGAATTAAGTTTGCTCGCTGCTGCATATTCATCTTCAACTACTATGAAAAGGGAAGTATCGTCAGCATATAGTTTTATATTACAATCCTTGTCGCTTACAATGTCATTTATATATACTAAGACAAGTAAGGGGCCTAATATTGATCAATGAGGGACGCCTGCATTTACACCAAAAGTATACGAGGATTGACCAGAAATAACAACTTTTCGTTTCCGATTTGATAAATAGCTCATAAACCACTTTAATAGGTTTCCTCTTATATCAATATTTCTAGGTTTATGAATTAGACATTAATGCCAGACCCGATCGAAAGCAGGACTTATATCAAAATAGTCTTCTATATATTCATTATTTACTAACAAAGGGGGGTGATTTGACGCTTTCGAAGGCTGCCCAGATAGATTTCTCAAAAACTTCCACCAATTCTTTACATTTGTTTCTGGATTCTCTAATACATTTACATGTTTTTTGAAAAAGTCAAGTTTAGCTGTTTTGATAAAATGTATGAACTGATTCCTAATATATCGAAATTGCCGCCAAGAATCAGCAGTATTTTTCTTTTTTGGCATTTTGTGAAGTCTTTTTCGGCGCCGAATTAGTTTTTTTATATGACCAGTTAGCCAAGGCGGGTCTTGAGATCTAACTTTGACAAATTTACAAGGTATATTTTTGCAGCTATTTTTAATATTATCCCATATTATTGAATTCACTTAGCAAAAACAGGATGTATTTCTTTTTAGAAAATCGAAGTATAAGTATTTTTTTTTTTTTGTTCCCATTTTTAATATAGCCATCCAATCCTCCAGTGCAGGAAATCAAAATCCGAAATTCCATGTAAAAAAATCAGATTTCTTTTCATGTTAATGTTCGAAAATTAAAATATTATGTAATAATAACTCATATACTTTTCTCATATAGATGTGCTTACAATCAACAGTATTTATCAGCGGTACTTTGCCGCAAACGAATGAAAAAAATACCAAAGCGCGCCATTTTTCAGTTGACGTCGGCCGACGCAAAATAGTCCTATTGTTACGTAGGACTACTGAGAGCCGCCGAATCCAATTTTGGCCAAAAAGGCACATCTGGTTGTCCAACTGAATGGGGTACCAGTTCAATATAAAAATCATTTGAACAAAGGCGTCACTCATCAGATGAATACAAATATAAATACATATAACAAGAACACAGTGTAGACGTGACCGGGTACTTGTACATCCTAACAACAAAAAGACACTAATATCTGAGGGAACTCGCAAGTCAGGAATATGATATTTGCTTTTAACTAGTTCTGTCGGTTGATGAAGTTTGATTTGTCAGTGTTAATGGACTTTTCCTTTTTGTAATGCTTTTCTTATACGGAAATCATTTTTTCAAAATTTGAAAACGAAAACTTTTCATTTATTTTTTTTATGACTTTTTCTCTTCTATTTTGTGCATAGGTGTATACTGTACTCTAAATTTAAAAGTATGTATAGAGAGTCGTGTAAACAAAGACATATTATGTGGTTGGATATTTGATCTTTTAAAATGCAAGATATATACAGGTAACAGTTTTTTTAATCGCTTGGTCGACCACCAATCGGATAGCGTTTACTATTTGACGTGAAGAATTATTAATACTAATCATCGTGGTGTAGAGATTGTAGTGAAGTAAGAAGTTCATCATATTGGTTATTATTCACGTCAAATAAAATTTAAAGACAAAGAATCATTTTCATGAAATGGAAGAATTACATGCGGAAACAATTCACGAGTTCAGGTAGGTGTTGTTCTCGTTAAACAACTAATTTTCTAATTTTCTCACAATTGATAGTTTTTTAACGTTGACAACTGATTGTTATATTTTTATACAATAAATTTAACTAAAAAATACACCATTGAAGTACATTTGCTGTGCCGAGATATCTGGGAATATGATTGTATTTCATATTGTATTGTACATTGTCATTTTTTATCAGAACCATTGCACAAATAATTAAACTTTGATGCATAAATATCAGCACAACGTTGAATCCGCAAATCTGTACAAATTTATATGATTGGCTAGTAATTGTTTTGATATTTTAATCACTGAACCACACACATTGGTCTTTATTCATTTTAATACATTTAATGTTTGGCATATTTAACACTAAAATTGGTAATAACTGACATACGTATCTATATCGCAGGAAGACAAGAATTCTAAATACAGATTGCAGATGTTCATGTATTTATGAGACTCAACAGTCGTTTATAAAAGACCAACGTTATAATTTACCCAATCAAGGAAGATATTTTATCAATCAAAGAGGAAGAACTCAAAAATGTATTTTTCCTTCTAATTGACCTTTCCATAAATATCCTTAAAAATAGTAGTCATGATAAA